TTTTTTAAGCGCCTATTTATTGCTACGGGTGGGCATGGCTTATGACATCAAACTCACAAGGTGATGTTGGTTTATTTGTATAATTTATTGATTTATTATTATTAAATTCTACTAGATGTGGTAATCTCATTTTATTTATAAAAAATTTGGATTTTTTTCTAATATGGATTTTTGTCTAATTAAACAGGTAATTAATTGTTTTGATCAATCTAAAAAATGCATGATTCATTCTCATATATATATATTATATATATATATATATATATATATATAATTATTATTATATATATATATAATATATATATATATTATATATATAATATATATTATATATATATATATATCATTTGAGAACTTATAGTTTTCCAAGAAACCAAGATATAAAAATGGACCGTTGGATAAAAAAAAGGATGCCTCTTCGTCGTCAAACTTGTACCTCGTTCCATAGCTTGTAGTGGAATATTTCTCTACAGACCCTTCATGATGACCATGACGACCATCAAATCCGCCGATCTCCCTAAAAACAACATCACCACCACATCTCCTCCAAAACATACATCACCGCCACCTCCTTTAGAACCTACACCACAAACGCGTTGAAAGTTCTTCCAGGGTTCCGTTGAAGGTAGCAAGTCGTTACCTTGACCTTTTCTCTTTCTAGATCTCTTTATGTTGAAGATTATGTTTTTTCTAGTATATATATTAGCCATTTTTAGGTATGGGTTATGATTTGAAGTTGCAACTTTAGATCTAAGCTTATCTTGGCCTCTATAGCTATAAAGTCTCCAGCTTTAGCAAGTATGAACCCTTCCTTTTGAGTTAAACCCCGTCATAAGCTTGGATTTGACATTCTAAGCCTTTAGAGCCTTGCATGCACATAAAATTTGCAACTTTATGTGATAACACATGTCGTGGGAAGCTTGATCTGCAAAATGGAGCTTTGGAATGACTTAAAAAGCATATGAATGGAGAAAAGACTGAAGGGAGACGAGTTGCATGGACAACCCGGTGAGTCCGATGAAGATTGTCGTGCAAGGGATTTCTGCAAGGACTCGACAAGTCAGTAGGATGACTCGGTAAGTCAGTTAGGGTTTTCTCGACATTTGGACATGCATGAACTCGGCGAGTTACAGGGAAACTCGACGAGTGTGACATCCCCAAAATCTCGGCCAAAAAAGACCGATTTCATTTATGCTTCTTAAAATAATTTCAGAGTAAATCCTTTTGATTTAAAAGAGTTGCGGAATTTGTTCCCAAAAACAAAATATGATAAGATAATATTTATCAAAGCATTTCATCAAGAGATGCATTTTCATTATATAATCAAAACTCGGGATGTCATGTTCCAATACAGACCATAAAGCATAAAACGATAACATTACAAGTCATTCAACAAATATATACATATGCAGACTTGTAAACAAATCAACTTGATGATTCATCCATCTTGTGCCCTTGCACCACTTTCTGTAATACAAATAAACTGAGTGGGTCATGCTTGGGAGCCTGGTGAGCATATAGGGTTTTCAACCCACAACAAATAATTATATTTAATTTCACCAACCAACAATAACCCGATTACACATTCCAGTTATCCTCACTTTATGTCCCTAAAACAACATCTATCTCAAGGGACCAAATCTAGGATTTTCATCGGGACGAACATTATTGCTAAAGGGTTTCCTCAACAATAGATATCCTAAAGGCAACCATGAAGGGGATAGAGTACACCGGTGAACACATCGTTCACAACACCTACAGGTTATGAACATGCTAGCGTTCCAGAAGACTGTCTAGAAAGAGTTTGTGGTTGTCATCCATACTCCGCTAGATGACTAGGTCAACAACAACAACATCGAGGCCTCTCATCTGTTTATCACACATCAACTATCTACCCATGTTCTACCCAACATATTAGTAGATAAAAATATATATTTTTATACATAGTTTAAAACATGTATAGCATGTTCAATCAATACATATTCCACATAACAAATGAGGCACACACACATAACACATATTTCATAGAGAATAAATCGGATCTATGAGATAGAAGAAAGTGAATATACATTCACGCATATAACAACCAAATATACACATAACACGTATTTCGTATAAAATACTTCATAACTATGCGTTAGAAGAAGGTAACTACACACTCACTTGATTAGAAGATGATCGGACAACACTACGACTTGTAGAAGTAGTATTCTTCGGTAGATCTGGAAGATCTTCACAAAAACTGGGCTCCTCGCGGGCAGAGCTTCGGCTCGGGAATCACACTTCTCAGGATATTTGGGGCTTCGGGACTTGCATCGGGGCTCGGGGTTGATACTCGGGCTTCGGGATATTTCTTGCACGTAAATCGATGCAAAACGGGAGAGATAAGAGAAAATGAGCAAATGAATCGGCTGCACTCGACTCCCTTTTATAGGGTCTGGATCCTCGATTTACGTTGGGTGTAAATCTAGGTACGCTGGGCGTAACCTGGATAGGATCGCTGATTACCCCCCCCCCCCCCCCCCC